TCTGGATAAGATAAGAATGAAGAAGACATATAGAGCTAGATGGTAGGAAGTCAGAGGGAACCATGTGGAGCTGGGACATCCAAAGCAGAGGCAACTGCCAAGGAGAAAGGTGCTGGGCTGGGACTCAGGCTGCTTGAATTCATCAGACCCAAAGTGTGTTGGGACAGAAGCTGGGCTGCTAAAGACGCCCTGGCTACAGACCCCAAAGCAGGAAAATCCTGTATAGGCTTTCTCCATCTAAGTCTGAAGCCCTTTTTGCTCTGAGCAAGGGGGAAGTCTGTTTAACTTTCTTTCTTTTTGAGCATACTTTGTCCTTAGAAGTAGCACTAACCCCTGGAATTTTCTAGGCAAGATATACTTAGTGGGAATATTATTGAAAAGAGGCAAATGAGGGGGAAACATTCCCTGAGTAAAGAAACAGATAGGTTCAAACTTGGGTGTTTGCAAGAAGCACTATCTGGCTCACAGCTTAGATGTAGAAATATAAAATGAATTGGAATAGAATAGAATGGAATAAAGAGAACTGAAGATTCTTTGGTACAATGCTTCCCAGTGGAATATATTTATATTTGTATTTATACATGTAAACTCAATGGGGCAATATATATATATATATATATATACATATATGTGTGTATATATATGTGTGTATAATGTGTATGTATGTATATATTTCTATATACATATGTGCATATGTATACATATACATATATCATATATAATTTTTCTATATATACATATATTCTCTATATGCTATTATATATATTATATAAATACATTTATATTTGTATTTATACATGTAAACCCAATGGGGGAATAAATCAATAGTGAGGGGTAGTAGGTACAGTTGGACAATGTTGGTAATTATACATCATTCCCTTTACCCTGTGTAATGACCCCAATAGACTCCCTTCCCCCCAACCACTAAATAAAGAAGTCCAGGGAAAGCTCAAAAAGCCCTAATAGAGAAGTTGAATCACTCTATTAGAATAAGACCAGTCAGAAGTCCATTTTCTTCCTGGCAGAGTTTGAATATTGCCAATTCCCCAGTAGTTCATTTCACTAGGTTAAAGAATGAATATCTTTTCTTGAATGGAAGGCATGTGAGGTCACCCCTACCCAGACCCTGAGATCTAGAAAAACAAAAAAGAATTGTGAGGAGACTGACTAACAGGACATTAACTTGTACATAGGCCTCCTGCCTAAATTCCATTAGGGGAAGGGAAGAAACATTTACTATGTGCCAGGCCAGGGTGGCGAACCTGTGACTTTGAGGCCACATATGGTCCTCTAGGTCCTTAAGTGTGGCCTTACAACTGAATCCAAACTTTGTATAAAAAATCCTCTTTTATAAGAATCCTCAAGGGCTGTACTTGAGGACCTAGAGGGCCACATGTGGCCTCGAACTTTGCTAAGAAAATGCCAAACAACAACTCCCCCCAAACAAACAAACAAACAAATAATGAGTCAGAACTCATTCCCACTACAATTTGGAAATACACATGAAAAAGAATATACCTGACTCTTTTGAACCATTAATTTATTCTTTTTTTTAAGTTTCCAATGAAACAAGTCTAGAGAAGGTAAGAAAGAAATTCTCTTTTGTCTTCCTAGCTTGCTTCTTTCTGTCTTTCTCTACAAGTGGGCAAATTAAGGATAAGAAAACAGTTCTGATAAATTCAGAGATGATTTTTTTTACTGAAAAAAAACCAAACTTCCTACTTTTTAAAAAGTTACATTTTATAAGTCACGACCTTCTTTCTGGTTTACTAAAGAGGTCTAGTGCTCTAGGTTCTTTTCTATGTGAAAAGACTTAAAATGTAACGGAATGGCAAACTCCTCAGACTGCCTTCCCTACTACACATTGAAGACAAAACATACAGCTACTTTTGTAAATTTCCCTCCTTTGGGGAAGATGGAGGCTACTTTTTTTTTCTTTTGCAGAAGAATTAGGCCCTGTCCTAAAGATGTGTGTGGGTTTTGTTTGTTTTTATTTCTCTCTGGGGCTATAGCTTTCATTTTCCACCCCTCAAACCTCCACCCCCACTCACTTTCTATAGTAACACTTTTTACAATCTCCCTGTTATGGGGCAGCTAGGTAGTATTTTGGATAGAGTGCAGGGCCTGGGATCAGGAAGACTCATTTCCTTGAATTCAAATCTGACCTCATACATTTACTAGCTATGTGATACTGGGCAAGACACTTAACCATGTTTGCCTCAGTTTCTTCATCTATAAAATGAGCTGGAGAAGGAAATGGTAAACTACTCCAGTAGCTTTGCCAAGAAAATTCCAAATGGGGTCGTGAAGAGTTGGACACAGCTAAACAACAACAAAGTTATTTGCTTTCAGCCTCTGTTTAAAGGGGACTCTCAGTTAGGTGGCAGAGTAGAGTAAACAGAATGGAGTCCCAATTCCCAACTGCTCCTATTTTCTGCTAATGCTATGCTCCATCCTCAAGTTCTGTACCATCATAGTTATTTGTATATAGAGTAATTCCTTCTTTCACATGGGGTCAGGTAGCAGGATCAGCCAACCCATATATGTTGTGACATTTCCTCCAGTTTCTTTTCTCTGACTTAACACTTGCACTGGTAAGTTGGATCTCCAGAGGAAGGTTGACTACCACTCAGCCCATGATTGAACATGATGACTCTAATAGATTGGGGTCTCTAATAGTGTAGGTCTTCAGCACCATTCCAATGTGCTCCTTATTATTAAGCAACCATTTGGATTCTCTTAAATGTTAGAGAAGATTAATTACTAAGATGATATAGCAAGATTCATAGTTAGAAAACATCCTCTCCCACAACTCAGAGGTGTCCTCACCCCTTGAACACAGAAGGTTCCTGGGAAGAGTAGAATCAAACTTATAGTGGTAGTGGGGCATATATACATAGAGAACATGTGGGGCCTAAGAGTACCTCAAAACTCCTAGACCTGGGAATCCTTTACTACTTTTGTGGAGTGGCTCATAAAATTTACCTTAGATATAACTTTCTATTGGGCTCCAAAGATTGATACCTTTCTAGAGTCAGTAGCTGGCACTTATCTCCATCATGAGAAGTCATGATCTCTGAAGCTACCCCTAAACTAATTCCTGTAATGGCTGGCCCGATTCACAATTCTAGCAGCAGTGCATTAGTGTGTCTATTTTCTCACATCACCTCGAAAAATTGTCATTTTCCTTTTTTGGGTCATTTTTGCTTATCTTTTTGGGGATGTGAGGAGAGTTATTTTAATTTGCAATATACTTATAACTAATTACTTGTGTAATTTTTATATAATTGTTGATAGCTTGAATTTCATCTTTTTAAAATTGTCTGTTCACAAACATTGGCCATTTATCTATCAGAGAATAGAATATTCGTATCAATCCCTTTTATGTCTTGTCTATCAAACCTTTGTCACATTTAAAAGTTTCTCTCCTATCTGACTTTACTGATCTTGCTTGTGCAAAGGTTATTTAGTTTTATGTAATCAATATCTTCCATTTTATCTTCTGTATCCATTGTTGTTTTCATTCATTCCCCCTTACCCATGGTTTCAAAAAATATTTGTTACTAGCTACTCTAATTTGCTTATGATATGATCTTTTATATCATGACTCCATTTGGCACTAAATGTGATATATGGTGTGATGTATTATGCTAAAGCCATATTTCCCAGAGTTGTTTCTAGTTTTCCCAGCAGTTTCACTCCCTCACCCCAAATACTTAGCCCTTACTCCATTAGATGGTACCCTGTGGTTTATTGAACACTGTTCTATAAGGTTAAGATTTTTCCTTGATTTCTGTATATTGTACATTACAATGATCAACTTCTCTGCTTAAACCAGTGCCATTTTTTTTTATAGTTACTACCTTGCAGTGTAGCTTGAGATCTGATAGAGCTAGGTTCTCCTCCTTCTCCTTTCTTTTCATTCTTTTCATTGATATTCTTGGCTTTTCAATTCCTCCAGATGAGTTTTGTAATTTTTTTCCTACTTCTATGAAGTAATCCTTTGGTAGCTTGGTAAGTTTGGCACTGAATCTCTAACATGGCACAAATATCAACAATTAAGTCCTCTTCATTTGTTATCATCTTTGTTTGTTTCTGTAAATTGAAATGTGTATATGGAAGTAGTTTCAAGACACTGCACATGAAGTAAAGAGGAATTGCAAAATGCATAGGACTATTTGAAAAAAATGTTCTGAATCCATACTGGTAAGATAGATAACAATAAAAACAATTCTGAGGTTTCATTTCACACCTCCAAAATAGGAGATGTTGACAGGAATGGGAACAATCAATGTGGGATACAGAGGGGAAAACAAGCATACTAATTAATGCATAGTTATTAGAGTTGATAGTGAAACAAATATTCTGGGAAAGCAATTAGAAACCTTGGAGGGAAAGGCAGATAGATAGAAAGATAGATAGATAGACAGACAGAGAGATAAATAGATGACTATGAAAATATTCATAGAATGCCCTTTGTGTTAGTAAAAAAGAAAAGACTGGAAAGTGAGGGAGCTTCCATCTAGGAAAGAGTAGCAGAGCAAATAGTGGCAGATAAATTTAATCAACTATGTGCCATGGTAAAATATAAATTAGAGTAAATCCCTTAAGCTCTCAGTAGTCCAGGGAACTTTCTAAGACTCTCAGTTCCAGAGAGGAAATTCCTCACTGGAGGTCACTTCACTGATAAAATCACCAGTCTGGTTAATGTGTGTATATGCATGGGTGCATATCTGTTTAAATGTATAATATGCATAGGGAATTCTTTTTTAAATATATTTTATTGATTCCTTATGTTTTTACATCATAATCATCTCTGGAGCAGAAAATGCTTTCCTCTTGACTCATCCATTGGACTTTCCTCTAATATTGTTTTTACTTTGTATTTATTTGGCAATTTTGTTGGTGTAAGATGAAAACTCATAGTTACTTTAATTAATATTTATCTTATTTATTATTTAGACATTCTTTCTCCTAAGATTTCAGATGATTCAACCTGCCTCTGAAAAGTTTGCCCATATCCTTTGACCATTTATAAATTATGGAAAAAGTTTTAGGTAATAAAAACATCAACAAGTAGCATTTTTATGGTGCCTACTATATGCCAGTACCAAGCATTTCACAAATATTATCACATTTGATTCCCACAACAACTCTTGGACATAGGTGTTATTATCATCCTCAATTTACAATTGAGGAAACTCATAGCAAATACAATGTAAATCACTTGCACAAGG